TAAAGTTTTACGTGTTCTTCAGCCGAAACGTGGAATGAACCCACGAAAATTTTATCAAACTGCTTTTATGAAATCAAGTTGGCATTCCAGACATACATTTAGGGATTTGTTTAAAAAGAATTTATTTAAATCAAGTTTTTTTTGCCTGTTTTGTTCAAAATAGCTATACTATTTGATTTTTTTTTATAAACTATGTTTAAGAAAAATTGATGTAAAAACTTTCAAAGCGCTTCTTTTTTGCAATTATTCTTTTAAAACGCCATACATATCGATAGAGGCTCATACACACCTTCTCAAGCTGTAGTTCAGTGGTTTGCGTAGTAAGACCCTAACACAACTACGACAAAACCACTTTGCAAAAATTTAAATGCGATCGAATAAATGAGTTTGTTTAAACTTGAAAAACTCTATCACTTCAACCTTAAAAACAAAGTATGCTAAGTATAAATTAACCGAACAGTACTAACCGTGATGATGCCTTCATTTTAGATAAGATAAATTTATTTCGACTCTATAATCAGCAAAAAGGCGATAAAGTGGTTGATAAGAACAAATTAATAAAAACTGATTATGAAATCAGGAGAGTAAACAAAACCTTGGACAAGGTTTAAAACGTGTAAGATGGAAGGTATTGCCAAAAATAAGCGGTACGTGTTCACTCACCTAAAACTATTGAATCAAATCATTCACACTCGCACACACACACAACCATAGGGCATTAATAAAATTAGAAAAAAAGAGAGAAGCTTAAGATAAATTATATGGTAACCAAAAAATAAATAAATAAGCACGTAAAAAAGAAATTAGAATAAAATATAAAAATAATAAAAAATGTTTGCCACACCATTTTAATGATTTTATAAAAACAAGAGTGAACAGTATTTAATATAAGGACAAAAAAATGATTGTTGATTATAATTGGAGTCAAATGCCAAATTGCCCAACCAAAGTACGAGAAAAATGCCAATACATGTACTCGAAATCCATATTATGCGTCACAACAGATTAGTTGTGGCGTCTTTGCATCAGAGGACTCTTACAATTAGCATGGGCTAGGCTAGGGCGTTTCATCGTTTATATCAGTAGATTGCCGCCGATGTAAGCATACTCGTTTTACCGAACTCGTTTTACCCACTCGTTTTACCGAAGGCTGCCCTTGAACTAATTTCTTTTGTGATAGGCTCGTGAGCTAAGTTTCTCAATAATTACTCAATATTAGTTACTCAAAACGTCCCTCTGATATCTCGGATAAAAATTTCGGTTAAAATCTTATGACCTTGGTGGAGATACAAACGTGGCGATAAATATACGCAATAGAAGTAAAAGTCAAAATGGGATTTTTCACTTACATTTTTAAAATTATAATTCCGGCTGCGTGTGCAGCTGCCAGAATGCAACGTTATGGCATAGTTTCACGGCGATGCAAGGGATATTTCAATAAAAAAATACAGAAAAAAAATTGATTTGAAACAAGCCCTTGTTTTACAACAAGATGTTTTTTTAGAATTTATAAAAAAAAAAACCTACGAACATTCCTACAGTCTTAAGCTTCCAATATGCCTCGGTCCCTTAATTATGGCATAATATCCCGTTGCACGCTACCCAAGAATGATTTTTGTAGAAACAACACGTATGCTTACTCGAAGAAGTTAAGGGGTTCGTTCATTACAAGCAGTTGATTGGGTATGAGTGGAAAATATTCTCAACGGGCGCACAAATTCGTCCGATGGGCTGCGGGTTGGATACCGCTGGTTAAATGAAAAGAATTTCAAGAGTTTGCTTGGAATTCTCAATGATAACTCAATGCCTTTAGTTACTAACGACCAAGGTTGACGAGGGGGCTGCCAATTCTGGATTCTAAAACTTATATGGTTTCAAACCGATGGCGTCATTGGTTTATCAAACATTCATTTGTCTTTAATATACAGGTTTGGTTTGCACAAAGGTTTCAACGTAGAAAAAGGTGAGAACCAGAAATGCGCGTCATTTTTGGGCTTATGTTCATAGGTTTCTTCAAAAGACAAACGCGCGTGTTTCACGTACGAATCCATACACACAAAGAATTGATACAATAACCAAACCCAAGATAACTCGCCCTATCCTGTTAACTGGTGTTTATAGCATGAGGAAATATTACCTCATGAATAAAACATCACATCGACGAATAGAAGATTCTAAACTCGAGATATCGAATTACGCAGTCAAATTTAAAGTAAACTGTGGGATGTGGCATCTACAGCAGCCTATTTTCATGCAAACATAAGTTTATTTTGATTTAATGAACGCATCCATAAATATTATATAAATACATATTTTAAAGATTAAATCATTACAGAACTCATCGATATGGTCTTCAAGTTGCGATGTGTTTGTGACAATATATGCATATTATTTTGTCAAAAGTTCAACGAAAAAAGCGGAAGACTTTTCTAAGATTCCACAACTACGATTACAGGCTGGAATATACTATACCCAGAGAACAAAATCGGTATGAAACCATGGAATTATGACCGAAATCACGCCTTCAAGTGGTAGGTTTAGACGTTCGCCTGACGTTTTGACAACATTGATATATATGTAGTTAAAAAGTAAAGAAATAAAAAATGTGAGGAAATTGTCAAAACCAGAACAGTAGTTCTTAACCCTATTCTCGACACGCTCTCTGCATTTGAGAATATTTCTTCACATCCCCTCTATTTTCGGCTTTTCAAATGACGTTTAGATGGTTATTTTCCTATAAATATCCACCTGATCAATGTAGAAGGGTAGAAACCATCATCAGACTTTTAATTCATAGTCCGATACCTCTTTCTTTGAACTTCAATCTTTTTATCTATGAAGCATGACTAAATGACTTCAGCGTGTCGAATGGCATATATCAGCAACTAACCCCGATTCTTGAGTTTTGTCTCGTGTTCTCTAAACCAATGCCCTTAGTCTTTTTACGCCGCGGACATGTTAATAAAAGATGAACCGGGGAAATTTTTCTTTGTATACATCCTTTGGATGTAGGTTCTTCCTGCATCTGTTGCTAGGATTTCGGAAATATCTGAATTTGAAGCAACTGCCAAGTTTTGCAAACTGCAGAATATCTTTTTTGACATATGCAACAGCACTACTGACGTGACTTCCCTCAAAAACAGAAATCTACTCCCTCTGAAACATCTGGAGACAAAAGACTGCAGTGGATCAGCCAAAATTTCATAAATTATTTTAGTCTACAACAGGTGATTAGCTCAAGGATTTTTTAACAAATTAAATGCTATACAGCTGCATGCAAAACATTTTGTACTAATATTTGACAAACTGGCACAAATACTGGTACCTTCAACATGTGATATACCATATTAGACCAAACATCTGTCATACCCCCCTTTAAATGTAAAATAAAAGTCTTCCATATTGTTCTACTATATCATATATATATAAATTTTTCGTGGCTCGAAACATTTTTTAGAGTTAGAAATCTTCAGCTATGCCCGTAAGGTAGGGGTCGGCAACCCACGGCCCTCGGGCCGGATGCGAGTTATAGAATCCGGCCCGCGACGGTTCACTGAATTATTGAGACACGTGTAGAATAAATTCTATTTTAACCTAACAAGTATAAAAATCACAATTACTCGTTTGATGAGCCCATAATTTAATTATAATTCGACGAAACGCAGAAGTTAATGCTGAGTGCAAAGGGTTCAATGGCGCCGAAAATATTCAAATGGAATTTATTAAAATGCAGTGCAACGAGGAAATAAATCTATATTCTATACGAGAGATGAGGAAAGCCTTCATAAGAGAGATGTATCACTGCTCGTTCGGTTTTCAACTTTCTAAAAATACGTGCGGCCCACCAATGACTTGCAACCCCTAATTATGGCCCGCGAACCACAAAAGGTTACCGACCCCTGCCGTAGGGCCTCATCCTAAATATTGAATGAATCGCCAAAAGATTTTTAGTTTAAAAGATGCATATTTTGCAGGTCGCGGGGCTGAGAATCAATCGGTGCTCCAGTTGATTGAAAAGCAGCAAAGAAAAAGAAATATGTAGCAATGTCCACATAATAGAACCTAAATTGCCTTTTACCCCAGCTAAAAACCACTCCTGAAGCCTTAAAAAACATCAATACCACGATTAACATAACTCGATATTCGAACTATTATTATGCAACTTACCAAATATTCACTGGCACAACAAAACCGGAGAAGGGGATAGTGGGAGTAAGTTGGACAGGTGGTACACGTGGTACAAGTGGGACACGTGAAACAGGTGGGACACGACATTTTTGAGACTCCGTTGTTTAATTAATGAATGCAAAGACTGATCAGAAATTCAGACTTATCCCGGGGGTGAGGAAAGCCCTCATAAGATTTATGGTCGCTACAGGTTGGTTTTCATACAGGTAAACCAATTAAATACATCTTCTTTTAGCGAAAATGCGGTAAAAATGTATAGCCATCTGGCCCATCTTTGGTCTCTGAATAATAAAAGAATAAGAGCGTGTTCCGTCATATAATCAGCTCTTATTTCAAGAAGCCATATTCCACAATTCACACCCGGTCTTCTCACTAGACACTGAATAGAGCGCAAGATAAAACAAACGGCGCAAAAAGGAGAGGTAGTGTGAAACAGGAGAAAACATCGCGAGGCGCGAAACTTTTTTATCACAGTATTACTATATTTGAAAGCATATGTGTTACGGTTTCATGCTAGTTTCTTCTGTACCTATATGTTTTGCGCCATAATCTTTTGTTTCGGGATGTTTTTTGTTCCGCACTACAATAGTTCGGTTCTCGATCATTTACCGGTACTCGTTAGCAATGGGCAGGTCATGTCTTTTTACTCAGGATGTATATTTGTCGTTGCATGGCCCGACTTTACCAAATGGAATTATCAGTCTTTCACCGGACGTTCTCCTGAAGTTATGTTTTATGGTTTCGAAACATCTTTTTTTATTCTGAAATTTCAGATAACTGAAACCACAAAAAAAAATTATAACATCGCCATTTAGGAAGGAGGTATTTTAATTGTTACTCTTCACATGAAACTTTGTTAAGAAATATAAAACATACGGTAGTTGCAATTAGACAAACAATACAGATGCGGATATACATATATATGATTCAAACAACAAACGCCTGAAGATCGATTCTAAAAATATGGCAACCTCCGCCGTTACATGTGAATAGAAAATAAAAATAACCAAAAAAAAGTTACATGAATCGTTCATCGTTTTTTTTTTAAATAAAACCCGCGACAACATTGATTTTCCAAATGCATCAATGAGAAAAAACAGTTAAAGATCAGAAAGTGATAAAAAAAATAATAGATATATATATATATATAAAGAAACTAAATTATATACATTGGAATAAAGTCGGAAATTTAAGATGATTTAAGTTCCTAATTTAATTATCATAGGTGACTGTAGATATATCAACTCATTTTACGCAATTCCTTTGATTTTCTAGTGGAGGGTATTTTCGAAAATGGCATTTGCGTATTATTTGTTTTGGATGAAACTGGCGGACCGTAATTTAAGGGAGCTAACTTAGTAGGCTTTCTTTGTATGCGTAAATCTAAACATTCGTCGTCGGGTTTCTTGTGGACACAGTTTTCTCGAGATACACTAGCCATGCCAAATTGTGGCTTTCTAATATTTGAAATGCCTTTACCTGGTTTTGGAAGCCTTTGGGGAGGTTGTAGCCTGCTTGCAATGGGAACAGAATGCTTCCGGGAAGCACACTTTGACTGAACAGAGTTAATGTTTTTTGATAAATCTATATACAATTCAGATGGGGAATCTGGCACTCTACTTTCTAAAATGTTTTTGTCGGTTCTGTTTGATTCTAATAATCCCGTATCTGAGACATCATTGGTAGATGCTTCGCTTACTTGTCTTTTGTATTTAGCAATATCAGAGCTTTTTGGTATTGAGGGAATAGGTTTTATTTTAGAGCGAGGGCTTATACCTGAAGATCCTATATTCTGATGTTTTCTAGAATTAGCTAGATCAGATATTCGAGAGCTTTTATCGGAATTAGAACTTCTCAAACTTGCATTTAAACTAGCGTCTGATTTTTCAGCCTGTTCAGATATATCAGAATTTGAGGTTTCGTGAATAACTTCGCTTCCTGATTTCACGTTTGGATAGTCAGAGTCATTGTATTTATGCACAATATCCTCAAGGTAATTATCTTTCTGATTTATTTCCTCTTCGGCATCTGGGTTGATGAACACTTCTTCGTAAACATTTTTGTTTGATTTATGCGGTCGTGGAACGATATCCGAATCCTGTTCTTCTATAGATCTTTGCCCTGCGAAATGAATATAAATCAGTCGTCTAAATATTCATTGTTCAATATGCAATATTTAACAAAGGAATGTTACCAACACAGCTACACAAACGGTGTCAAACATTTCAAACTAATTTTTTCTTTAATTTGGCAGCCCCGAGTCAAACAAAAAAGCGTTTCCAGTATGAAACTATCATCGAGTCACAAGCTATCGGTCATCTAGTATCAGCTTATTATTTGATCTCTATTGAATGAGGTAGCCAACATACTGAAACTACATGAATACTATATTTAAAAGCATACTACACTACATGTGATATTTGTACCTTGCATTTGAGTGTTAGCGGTTACATCTTTTTTCGGGCATCCCGTTGTTTCTACATTCCATACATATTCTCTGTTATCAACGACATTTTTTCTGGATGTTGTATTATTTCTGATATCTGCACGCTTCCCATTTTGAGAATCTTGATTATAATCGTGAGATTTTACATTTTCTTCGTCCAGCTGAGTTATCCCGACATTTTCGTATTGAGGGACATTCCTTTTTCGGAAGCCTTTTGGTGCCTTGCTTGGTACTTTGATATTAACGTTTTCGTAGTCATGTTGGCGGGTAATAGTTTGGTTTTCCTCCACACTGTTCGTTTGGTCAACAATGTCAACCACTAAAACTGATGTATCTCCGCAGTTTTGCCAAACAATTTCGTCCTCACCTAGTGCGTTGTCAAGTTCTTGGTGATCATGTTCTAAAATATTTCCCTTTTCGATAGGAATAAGCTCGACCCGACCAAAGCTTTGCTTGTTGTATTCATCCGTATCTTCAAAACCACCAAATTTATATCCCTTATGCTTTTTCGAATTATGACGACCCAGAAACTTTTTATTGCCATTACTTTTTACTTTCGTAGCAGGAGCATTGGATGGAGCGATAAAGTTTTGTGCCGGCGTATTCAGAAACGGATTGCTAAGTTTCCGACCTATTGTATCTTCTTGTGACGACTTTCTGCCTGCTTTTTTTGTTCTAGTTGGTAAAGCAGCATTTGGTTCAAGTGATAAGGTTCGGGGATCGATTGAAGACGGGGCGTTTTCATGCTCTGGCATGTTCGTTTGCCTGAAAAAAAAAAAACGACAATACAATTTTACTTTGTCTTTCTTTCTTTCTTGGATGTAAAAAAAGAAAATTTTGTAAATCATGTTGTTTTTGTTAATTGATGCATGAAATAATTTTCATAATTGCATATATTTTTAAATCATCGAGAAAGTTTTCTACGAATATGAATAAAATACATTCCGCAACGTACCACATTACAAACTTTATTATATATAAAAGTGATTCCCTACTGAATCCAGTTTCTAATTTGTGACGATGTCAGATGTAAATATTCATTACATTCTTCATTTTAGATTCCAAAATATAATTAGTTTTACCTTTTGTTATTGTTTGTGGAATTTTTTCCAAATTTTGACTTCATAATGCTAACAAACGATTTCTGGCCTCCTCCTTTCTTTTTAGAGCCAGCTTCATGCATTTTCTTAGACTCTCCCGTATTCAGATCTTTTCTAGTGACTTTTGGGGAATTTTGAGCTTTGTTTTTTGAAGAAAATGTCTCTTTTTGCTTATTGATCGCCGAGTATTGTGGAATTTTCTGTATCGGTGACTTTTTGTCGACGGAGTTTGGATTAATACTTGCCAGTCTCTCGTTGTTGTGATATATGTTTTCAGCAGACGAACTAACCACTCCACCCTTTGAGAGATTTACTAAATTTGGATGACTGAATGTCGTGGAGGAAATACTTGTACCACATGAACTCAAGCTCCCTTTATTTGAGAGATCTTGACATGAGATGTTAGACGCTACACTTCCGATCGCATTACCAGCACTAGAAGTTCGCGAAGATGAAGAATGACTCCTTGTAGGTATTTGTGGTGACGACGGTGTATTTTTCTTTGACATGTTTGTGTTGGTGGAACTTGTATTCTTTTTCGCAAACGTTGGTACATAACTCGTTTTTTGTTCTGTAGGAACACCTGAGAAAAATAAGTATTATGAATATTCGAAATAACTTAATATTTCTTAAAAAGAAAAGATAATAATGCCATCCCCCAAGTCTAATCGAAGTCAAAACCTGAAATTGTGTTTTTAAATACGCATTATATATATATGCATGATATTTTACATTTACATCATATGTGTATAAGGTATTTATGAGGGAACTCACTTAGGACCTTCTGAAGTATGCGCACCAAGATAGCGCACAACCTGAACTCAGGTTGTGTACCAGGTTAGGGTTCAGGTACTGCGACATCTTGGTGCGCATACTTCAGGAGCACCCTCACTTATATAGTAATTGCTTGGTAGATAATTTACTGGATTCTTTTACAATTTGTCTGAGATTGCACATGATTTTTCTTTTGAGTATTCCCGAAAAAATTGAATTTATAATTTTTGGCAAGCATAAATTCACTTATATTGATGTTAAACTGGCCAGTTACTTATCCTTCGTCAGTAGCACAAAGGCATTAGTGCCATATTTTTGCTTACTTTGATCGCAGTCACCTGTTCTAGAAGAATCTTCTAAGGAATGATTTTCCTCGACGGCTCGGGCTATTGCTAAAGCAAGTTTGTCTTTTTGTGATCGATATTCGAGGGAATTTGAATTCTGAAGATGAGGAAAACTTATATTAAGTCGTACTTTCTTAAGTAGACACAAGTTGCTGAAACCTTCAAAATGACTTCACGGGTGAATATAACAACAGTGGTGGCACAGTAACATTATGGTTGATTTTAATGTAAATTGATTAAAAATTCGTTCTAATTAATGAATGTATGAGAAACGATACACAAAGCAGTCGACAGTAGCCTACAGTGTTTTTTATTACGCAGTAGGCTACCGGCAGCGACCAATTTCACGGAAGCCTTCAGTTTCTCTCTTTTTCTAGCTGCACATAAATTCATAGCGGGTATTATTGCAAGATGTTAGCAAGTAGTTCCTACCTGTACAAAATTTGATTTTTTCGATAGACTTGAATTGGTTTTGTAAATATCTGTAGGTAAATAATCAAGCGATTGGGATTTCCGACAAGCTGCGCCATAAGACGCTCTCTCGAATGACGCAGTGCGTCTCCCTTCCCTCACGTTTATCTGTTCGACAGCCTGGTGACGACTTGAACAATCGGGTTCGTTACTGAAAACATAAAATGCAACATTACAAACTAAGAAGAGGTGAAAGATATGTAATGCAGTGGGGATATATAAAGTCATTTGAGTAGTTTTTAAAAATGAAGCTGTTTTTTAGGAATGAAAAACGTAACCTGTGACTACTGCACTAAAATTAGTATCTATAAATACTGTACAAAAAGTATATTCTTCACCTGTCCTTGGCTACTATGTTGTCCGGTGGAGGGGGTGGTGGTGGAGGTAGATCTATAATGTAAAACAATTTTGAAAACATAACATACAACGTAGGAGTATAATATTATGTAAAGTGTATTAATATGTAATTTCGGGATTTATTTTTAAAATAAATATGAAGTTATCAACGAATAAAATGTATTTAATTTACACGAATTTAACGAGTATTTAGAAAATGCTTAAAGAGCGGGAAAGCAAAAACAATCAGCGAATCTTTGTGACTCTCGAGAAAACATATTTCTTTCGTACCTTTTACATTTGTATGTTTGGTATTGCTGCCAGACGCAGAAGATGACAACGCTATTTTCTGACTTGAAATTTCGTTGGGTCTACCATTACGAAGCAACCATACGTCGTCACGTGTTCTTCGTTGCTCTGAAATTTTGTCCTGGGTCCTGAGGATTCGGAAAGACCGCTGTAACGCGCCCCTCGAAAAGTTTGCGGTTTTTATACCATGATCTGTTCTATGATCATCATGAACCGGCAAACTAGTTGACTGAGGAAAAGGTCGATGTTGACTGGATTCAATCGACTGATTCAAATGTGCATTCGAATAATTCAAAGTATTCTCATTTACACTTTCAACTTGCTGCGTTGAATATAGAGTGTTTTCTGATTGGGTTTTGGAATTTTCTACCGAAAAATGTCCCTGGGGATAAACTGCACTCGACTGCGGTAGTGACTTTTGATGAAGCATGTGTACTTGCGTATCGCTAGCATGGAATCCTGGCGGCCGCCCATGAAATGAAATTTTGCTGCCCTCTTCTCTGTTCATCACCATAAAAACATTGTTCTCATTCTGATGATGCGACGAAGCGGGTATCTGTTGACACGATAAGTGGTCGTTGTATGTTTGCGATCGTCTTGGAGAAGCAGATTGATGGGGCCTTGCCGGTCCACCTAGCCTAGAAGTTGATGAGTAGTGATCATCAAAAGATCGACTTCGAGAAACTTTGTTTCTATTACCCGAAATCTGTCTTTCGCGCGATCGTGATCCTCTCCCAATTGAATGATCGTCTTGTAATGAAACTGTATCGCTCGCAATCAATCTTTGACGAAAAGTGTCAGCTTCAGACGGTGTATTGATCGGTTCAACACTTTCTGGAATCGCAAGCAATGGAGGAGATCTTGCCATTGGTAATTCCTAAACGACAAATATAAATCAGAAGGTTATCTAATTCTAAAGATTAACCAATTCATTATTTTTGCACATTCATTAGTTTGCACATTGCGATATTCTTGCTTGCAACGACATAGCACTAAACATCTCATTTACTTCGGAGTTTATGCCACTCACTATAATGGGGGTATTGCTGTTTTAGCGGCATTAGAATGCCCCTACATTCAATTTAATATACATATAAATAGCCAACGCCCACGAATCAGGGTCACGTAATCTCGAAAATGTTGCTAGATATAACAAAAATGTTCACATTTTAATTATATTTATAGGTGCTATAAATGTAAAGTAATATTTTGGATTGACATCGGAAAAAAGCTACCGACCTGCATAGCAAGTTGTCCACCAAATTGGGGGTTGTAATAATATGCTGGTACATGAGAGTTTGCGTTATGTGTTGGAACGTTGTATCCCCTGTTACCGTTGTAACTGTTCGATGGATTGTGGGAATGGTTGAACAAAAATTGCCTTTGGTGTGCTCCTTCTTCATTTATATTCACTCTTTGTTGAATTGGAGCAGACTGCGAGGTTTGTGCTAAAATGGAGATTTAGATCTGACCTGTTTTTTAGCTGCTTTAGAAACCAATAATATTAAAGGCAATGATGACGTATTGGTTTTGTATTGTCTGAGAGATGGAAATTCTTTATTGTTAATTGAAGCTATGAAATGCAGGGTGGTCGCTAGAAAAACAGAAAGCTTGTCAAACAGCTCTTTATTTTTACAAAGAATAAATTTTTTAAAGGCATATGTTATATTACACAGAATTTCACAGAAATCAAATAAAACCTAAAAGGCATCAACCTAAAACAACCTAGAACCTAGAAAAAATAAAAAAGTATCCAAAAAGCAATGAGTAAGCACACATTTTATTCGTTATCTCATCTGACCTTTAAATTTTCTGCTTTTCTAGCGACCACCCTATATAAATACCAATATGAAATAACACTCAAAACTGGATAAGATCACGAGCTGAAATCCGACTGTACTATCACCTCAAGACGAAACGTATGTATAATGAAATTACAACCTGACAGGACAAAAAGACCGAAAACTAATGCAGAACTGTTTGCATAAACTAATGCAATATATTCAGATATTTGTCAATTTTTTTTTTTTATAATTGAAAATAAATACCTTGATTCTGTGCGTGAATCACTGGGTACGGTGCAAAGGGATGATTTCCTTGTGTGGCTGCTGCATATGCTTCAGCAAAATCATTACTGTTTGAATTTCCTGAAAACCAAGATTACTTAAGATGAATATGAGAAAATATAAAATGATGAAAACAAATGCGACAATCAGAAAATTTTCAACATAAAAGGCTACGATCAATTTTTTTTTTTTTTTTCATTTAATAGTGTCTTGTGATGAATGATTAGGTGTTTTCAAAAACCAAAATAAATATTCACTGTTTTGATTAGATTCGTCAGGTGTCCAGTTATAGGGTAAACCAGGAGAGCTTGAGGTAGAAAGTACTGCTTGATTTCCAGTTACTTGAAGCACTTGCATACGCAAGGCATCGCATTCCATTTGAAGTCGTTGTTGGCATGACAACGCCTGGAAAACTTGGGACGAAACCTGCAAGACAATTTGAACATTTGGTAACAATAACGGCAATACAAAAATACATGGAAACGGACCATTACCAGTACATTCACTGTCCCTAAAATAAAGCTCATCGAAAACTCGAAAAACCTTTCGAAGTTACCACATCTGTGCTAAAAACGATAGCCAGATAAAAATTTGAAATCGTTCAATATAGAAAATAATTGCCCTTTTCTATCAATTTTATGTTGCCACAAATAACAACATTTTAAGCCCCTGTCGTTTCATTACAGTTCTGATTTCGATATTAAAAACAGAATACATATTAACGATGTGACTTAGTGCAAGGAAAGCAAAGCCAAATTGACGATATTTGGTTGAAACGATCCATGGGACAACTTTTCTAAATTGGTGTTAGATTGACTACTAAAAAGTTTACGAAAATTTATGAAAGTAGCGAAACATTGTTGGCCTATAAAGCGAAACATTCGGATGACATTCCAACCAGAATTTCACTCGAAAAAAAATTAAATCCAGAATTTGAACTATAAGATGGTAAAGTGATCGTGTAACGTTAGACCGTTTTTGACCTGATATTCAACCCTGCTCAGTGTGATGATAATCTTTTAAAAAATGTAATTAACAAATTGATAAAAATAATAGAACTAAGAATCATTTGAATATTAATTCTTATAGTTTTCATGTTAGAGTCTATGATTGTTCCAAATAATATTGAAATTGTCGCGTTGTGAATAAAGTATTTAAATATGCCTTGCATTTTGGCTGAAACTAGTTAAATGCGTTTGTAGTTCGTCTTCAGGTCAAGATATTTATTAATAATAATAAAATATCACCAATTGATTTAATATTAAATTGCCTTATTCACGTTCACAATAATGGAATGTAACATTCTGCATCTTCAATGAAATTGAAGATTAAATCTAAAACCAACAATCAAGAAAAACGAATAGCCAAGATAAAAAAGTTACGATATAAGTCGAAGTCGAGTTTGCCGTGGGTTTTTGACATAATCTGAAACCTGAGAGCTCGTCAAGATGATAGATAATGTGAATGCGGTAACCGAACAATTTGATATTAATCTGCTATAATGCCCAAGGATGTGGTAGAATTTTAAACTGGTTTCACAATGTGAGGCTGAAAATTTTACTTCTGAATATTTACATTTCGTTCAGATTTCAGAATGACTTTATATCCATAAGCAGTAAAACAAAACAATCAAATTACCATAGCATAAATACAACTGTCTAATTTAATACAAAAAATACTTGAAATTTATTTTTATACCTATGACAAAGTACTTAAGATTAATTCAGAGCGATATAACAGAATGTAATTTTTGGATATTAATTAAACGAGAATTGAAGTTTTCTCTTCCATTTTCTGGTTTTGCCAATATTATACTGGTGTGCAGCAGCGCGTCATACAGTGAACTGTTTATATTTCGTTTCACGTTTATACGATCTTGATCACGAATATCGACAATACAACGAAATTAAAAACTAACAGAAATTAGGAATAAATTTGATTTCCTACGTATTGGTGGGTTTTTTTTGCCGCTCAATTTACTGCAAAAATGTATGGATATCGAGGAGAGTTTTGTTTAGATAAACTTTAGGATAATGGCAAATTATAAAACTAAACATATTTTTCAAAATTACTGCGACGCTCTTCATGAGCATGTTTTCTACATTCTTTCATTGCATGTTTTTTATATTCATTTGGACGCTCTATATGGGCATATCGTGTTCCCCGGAAAGAAGACAGGGTCTTATTTCAATTTTCTTTCGAAAAATAACTTATTTTGGTGGGATGTCTTTTATTTTTATTTATCAAAATCAAGATTACAAAGTAGAGAATTACGAGATTTTGGAATATATATACAAAATATGAAAAACGGTATCCATTTACTTATAGATAACACGTTTTTATTTAAAATAACTGTTAAACATAGATTATTAATCATTTAAAACGTGTAGGAGAGATTTCTTGCTATCCACTAAGTCAAATAAAAATTTCGCGCTATCGACTAGGTCTCATTTTAAGAGTAGGGCTTATATTAAAATCGTTTTTAAAAGTCAGAATCGGTCTTATTTTCGGGAAACACGATACATACACTTGGAACTACAACTGGAAAACAGGCGTACGGCGACGGCGTGAAATTAGAAATGAGTTTAAATTATTGATGTACGAGTATATTGTGAATAAACGAGACTCACATGTAGATAATAGGGCCGATCTTTTATGGGTGGACAAAAGAAAAATTACGTATTGCTCGAGGTTTGTTGAATAAGAAATTAGCTAACCCGATCAAGATATCTTTCGTATTCATATCTTTGTTTTTCAGCATTTGCATGAAGTAGTTTATTCTGTTCTTCCATTCGTTTTATTCTTTCAGAAAGCAACATGCATGCAGAACGAATATCTTCTAATTGCATCTGTAAACAAATCATTCTTTTATAGTAAGGTATTATTTGTAAGAAGTTGTTACTTTATCTTGAAATATAGACTGAATAGGGAAAAGAACCCCGCGCTTATGTTACCATAATTCGATGTAATCACTGCGAGATAACATGCGGGGATGAACCTCAAAAAACGATTATTGAAGTTGCTACAAGAAAAATCGTTTAGTGAATTTCATATGAAAATATAAAAAAAAAATGTTCTACCGTATTCTTGTTTGAAAAATTTATTCACATACAAGCACACTTTAGCAATATTCAGTTATATCGTCTTTCACCAATGCACACAGATTGAAGAAACATATCAAAAATTGCCTCATTTATCCCAAATAAAATTAGCTAAGCAGAAATTACTTCGCTTTCCGAAATTATTTCCCAATCTTTCGTTGTTGGTTGCATATGAATAATGGATATTTTTCCGGAATAGCCCGCAATTACAATACTGTTCATACATGATACGTGCTTCGGTACGAATTTTCATCAATGGACCGTATATATTGGTGCGTTCATAATTGAATACTAGTCTAAATTTCTACAAGCAAGATGATATGGCCTTACTCTCTCTGCGTCTTGATAGCTTTCATTTGCGACGACTTCGGAGCTGTTGGCATTGTGTGATGAAGCTATTCTTAAAATCTGTCTTTTCAATGCAACGTTCTCTCTTTCTACGGCGTTGATGTGATTTCGAAATTTAGAAATTGCATCCTAGTCACATATAAAGAATTATTTCAAAACAACATTCTTCCATCTTATTCATTTAGGTCATTACGGGGTTGGAATTGAATTAAAAGTCCATAATGTTTGTAAACATTCAAAATAGCATTTTCCTCAATATAAATTTACAGTTTGAAAAAAGTACATTATACCGTTCCGCTTTTAGCTTTTAATAAGGTATAATAACACCTTATCCGCGTTTATATACTTTGGGACATTTTCGCAGCGTTTCACAGCACGTAGTCGGCTCTTTATTCAAATTTTTATATTTAGGGTAATAGAACGCAGTCAGTGAATAAACAAGCGATATACGAACATTATAATAATTAATGACGTATGACAGGAATCTACTGACATCAATTTTGGTATACTGAAAATAAGAATCAGGATATATCGCCATCGCAGTTCCACCTCAAAAATATGAGACAGATATAAATTTCTACATTTTACTAATAAGGACATAGGAAGCTGACGTAAATATAGCTATTTACATTTGTGTCATTCCTTCATCAAGGTTTAATTATCCTTCAAATTGACAATTCACGTTTTTCGACGATATCGCATTTCTGTACACCATACAAGAGCTCAAGCCAAAATTTTGCGTGTTGCCTTTGGACACGAAACTATTTCTAAAATGCATTTAGGACCAACCAACCTTAGAAACGTGCATCTGTGGTCTGGTGTCGGTTTTCGCATCGCCATTGTAAGTGAGGCTCCTTCTCAAAGATTCTTCCATGTTTTCGTAGTCAATAAAATGCCCCTAATGCAAAGTTCAGTGAGTTAATTGCAAGTACAATGAAAAAATAGTGTTTATAAGTGCATTCAATGACTGGTTTCCCGACAAACAACCTCTTTGTTACAAAATTTTGTATACATGCCAGTAGAAACCTTGAATTAAACCTCAAACATCCTGTTAGACTGGCTCATTTTGTGATTCCCGCTATTTTAGATTTATTTTGATTTCAAAGGCTATTTTGATAAGTTATTTTTAAAGCAAAATATATGAAAAGCAAGTATTTTAATTCAAAATCATATGGCGAAAAGAATTGTGTCGTTATAAAACTCACGTCCACGACAAGTTCAGTCTGGGGAGACTATCTGTTGTGAACTATACAAAAAAATGTAAAATTTTCCATTTTTCTAACAGCTTTATTTCGGATTTGTGTGGTCAGGTTCTGTCACTTCATACCTAAATGTGATTTCTTTTCGTTTGTGGGTGGCGGGAATTTTTTTGGGTTGGTCGGTAAATGTAAACAAATAAGATGGACAATTTGTTTGTCTATACTCGGCTGTAAAATACATCGTTTTAAAAACAAATTTGGAATGAGAAAAACAGAATTCGCAGCAATAAATGTATAGCGGAAAATATGGACTATAACTAACGTCCAAGAAAAAAACACAATACCGTATTCTCCTCTATATACACAGACAAATATTGCTTATTTCAAATTCCACGTATCACGCTTTGTTTAAAAGAGAAAAAAACATATATAATCTAAATTTGAAATTTACATGTTTATTATATACATATTGGTTTTATCAAAAAGGCCATAAATTCGAGTATAGAGATGTCGCTTTATAAGTTGAAGCTTTATATCGTGGTGCTTTTTTGTTTTCAAATAATATATTTTCAATTATTATTAATCATTATATTATATTATTCTTTCCGATTACATTTCCCGAATACAACCATACGCCCATAAAGACAACTAATTCCACAGAAAATTCAGTAGTTAGTAATTTACAATATCATGCTCATTTTATGCAAGTACTAATAACTATCTATTGTGTATTATAAAATTCTTGTTATTGTAAGGTTTAATTTTTTATAATTATGGCAATATTAAATATTATCTAAACCTATACACAAAGCAAAAATGCTGCTTTACCCACATTCCATTGAAAAAATTATTTACCGTGTTAACGCCGTTGTGGGGATAACTGACACTCTGCGCTGCATATGCGGATCCATTCATCTGGGAATGCTCACGATTCTCTATGGGTGAAGACTGAGAAGTATTTGGATATCCTTTCTAAAATACACGTAGATACTTGAAATGGGGCCACAAATTTCCTACTACCAGTACGACTATATACAGACTGGATAAACACAAGCCTACTAGAACTAGATAACCAGGGGAATTTGAAATTGGGCCCAAGCGTCTAATGAACTGATTGCATAATATGAAGCTCATTTGAAGAAAGAAATAAGGGCGCTCCAGAAGTGTGTGTACCAATATGAAGGGAACTAATTTTGTTCGCCTATGTTACATCAAGTTGTGTAAAGGGACTGAAACCTATGGGCAGGGGGGGTATATTCACTTCGCTAACACACAAACAGTCCCCGAACTCGTAATAGAACTAAAATATGAAAGATCGGAATAAAATTGTGGCGTAACCCTAACTTGGTACACAGACTACGGGAGTACCAAAATAAGAATCCAATTGGAATTAATTGAATCTTCTCATTGTAATTTAAAAGTAAACAAATATCTCGTTTTTCATAGAGATTTTCAATAACTTACCATCTTATGTAAAATTGGTATGAAAGGAAAAACGTCTTCCGAATTAAAAACGCGACGTCATCAATAAATGATTTCTTTCTATAAAAATGATAGAAAATCATGATCAGTCACCACCATGATGTATAAAATCAATGGAGTATAGGAAATGAATATTAAAATAATGAAAAAAAATGAGAAAGGCGCAACATACGTCCCACAACAAATGATCACATGGTGAGACAAAAATAAATTCTTTTCTTCCCGGCTTTTACCTAGATATCCGGCTAGCTTTTGATATGTACATTGAGAAAATCACGTTATTCATTTTCAAATTTAGGTTTTGTAAAATTAGTCTCCCTGATAAATTGGGATATTAAACAGCATAAAACTTTGGTGCTATATCTTTATATTTTTGACATCCTGAAGAAATTACTACAACGCATGACAATAACTTGTTGGCAACCAATTGACTAAAAAATTAATCAAAAAGCGATGTTTGTTTACTAAATTTCCAACTGTAGTCCAAGCCGATTTTGCAAAGTCGCCATGTGTAGTTACCCTTTGTTCGCTCATTGTCAGGACTTTAACAATCCAATATGTCGCCAAAATGTGTGAAAATGGCAAATTATAAAGCAACAGTGAATTCAATATTCGGCTGTGAACTGTTGTATGTATATGACTTTACTTTTAATGCCGAAAAATTCAGTCTTTCCTAGTCATTCGCGCCTTTTGTAGTGTAAACCTGTGTGTCTTTAATATTCCAATGGCATCGTAAAGATTTTGTGAAGCACTTTGTATAGACGCATCAGAAATTAATTAGAAGCCAGAACTGAAAAATTACACACTGGTATTTATTTGAGAACATATTTGCAAGAAAGGAACAGAAATTGATGAAATCCCGGATGGTCGTTTTCTATTACGAATGAAATTATAATGTGAAAAACAATTGAAAAACGTTCACTCATCTACATAAATGGTATAAACACAGTTTTCTGCCTGTCAACTGTTTTGACAAAACTAAGTCTTCGTCGTTAAAACTCCAACTATTTTGGTACGACACCGTTACTCAGCGGGTTTATTTATAGAAGCTTGAACTTAAATAAACACCTTTGTGTATTCACGTTACCGCGTTCGCGAAATGTTTTTTTTTAAATACCGTCTTTACATGAATGGGATAACGCAGTGTTTTTTCAATGCTAAATTTTGGTGGTGAGACGAGAACCTCATACCGGAGACCGAATGAACCGCTTGGCGGAATGAAATGTTTAATAAGGTTTGAACAAATGAATCGACAGATTATGTATGTATCAAAACAATTCTCATCATATGAAAGAAAATCATTGAGGGTACTAGCCTAATGGTCAATGAAGAAATATGATATGCCGGACTTATCACTTATCTAATAACATATGCAAAAAATATCTTATTCGTAAATTAAATTGTTACTTAATTCTAAATATAAATGTAATAAAGTGAATCAATATATAAGAAAATTTAAATTTCAAATATTTCGAATCATATTCACAATGATGAAAATGACACTGAAATTTTACAGTTTTAATTTTGAATCACATATTTGAAGTAAAACGAGTGGCTTTACTTTGCCTCATTACTTATTCTTATAATCTCCATACTCGTATTCACATATTTTTAACACTAATCATGAGTCCAGAAAATAGTTTCCCCGTGATTTATTCAAACATTTACAACATCTCACTTGATTTCGTCATTCGAGAAAAAATTTGTAGTCTGGGAGATCAACACAGTAGTGATGTTTTTGAGAGGTGTACCCGAGTTAAACAAATAACGCCGGTGTAATATAAAACGACGATTAGAGTTATTCTCGAATCTAATCATAGTCCGGCAATAATATAAACCAATCAATTGACGCGACTTCCTGAGTGAGATATTGGACATTGGAGCGAAATAATGTTGTGCAAATTGCTTAATATTAAATACATAATATTTCATTATATACGAAACAATTTATTGGAAAGTAAGCGCTTGAAGTGATTGGTCGCGTCAACATTTTTTAAAAAAAGGAAGCCGACTCACGCAGTGGTCCGTTCTCATTTCACTCGTAATTTAGCAAATACTGATTTCTGTCTTTGTCACAAATTTGTTGATAAAATTTGATACCATGTGAATAAGGTAGATTTGAGTAAAACGAAGTGACCCTGTACGTACATTGATGCTTTTACGTAATGCTTCACCAACCATGACTTCACATCATATTAAAGTAAACGTATACGCTATTAAAAAAGTAATAAAACCAGTACCATTTCACCATAATTACTACTCTTCAACAGAAAACATGACCAGAATAAACTAAATGAAGAGATATATATAGCGTTCTGTTCCAAAGACAAACTGTCTCTATATTTTCGTGTCATGCTAGTTTGTATTCGCTGAAATTCGATTTATTTTACTGTTTTTTTAAACAGCTAACGATCTAAATAAAGCTTTCAAGTATACATTTCATTGCATTGGTAATGCTTGTAGTAACGTTATGTAATGTCTCCCAGGTAGAATTGAAACGTTATGTTTGTACTTACCTTGTTATTACGACTCCCGGTCCAGAAAATCTTCCAACAAATCTTAAGGTCATGTAAGATGTTCCAGAATAATAATACAACAATGAGTTTGTCGGAATCGGAACATGTATTTATGTATCATATCAGTCTAATACTATGTTACAAAATAGCTCTGTTCGAAAGATAAATTTGATTTACTCAAATCCGACTAGCAAATGTTTTACGAAAGATGGCTAGATAATATAGCTAGATAATTCCTGAATTTGTTGCTTCATTTTCAAATCGGATTATTGATATACAGCAGCTGTACATATAAACATTTCAAAAAAATTTACTACTATTTGCGAGTAATTAGGATATTGCCATGGTATTGACTAGATGTCCTTTGACATGCGGAAAACGAATGCTTTACGTGTGACAAATCGCGCTTTCATTAGATTTTTATATTATTTTATTTACATCTTATTCTATTTACCTACAAATTCCACTAAATTTAGGCCTTTTTTATATCAGTACATGATCTCGCAGAATAGCCTATCATGCCCATTACATTTTCATATTCCCTATTTTACTGATAAGCCTCTATTCATTGAGTTATTTTCGTTTTACTCTGTCCGAGGCTGCTTTCCTGTCCTGATAAACAATACGTGCACATTTAACAATACTACTAGAATTGTTTGATGTTAGTACCTAAACAGCAACCTTCAAAAATTCCTTAAAGAAAGTCGAGCGAAACCGGTACTACCTCAACCAAAATAGCCATTTCGTTCGGGGATACATCAGCAATTATCGCCCATAGGCATTACTAAGACACCTCTCCTGGTGAGGCTTGTTTTGCGTAAGTCGAGGCACGAAAACTCTAACAACGTCGCACAAAGAAGAGAGAATTTTGACGCTTTAAATCGCTCGTTCAAGCTGTTATGACAAGCTCACGCCCACAAGTGACCAGCTGTCTGGTAAATAAAACGATTTATTCCGTTCCCACTTTGCCGATAACGGTATGTGTGGAACACGGGTAAATCTACCGGCAAAAAAATAGTCTGCGGTGAAAACAGATCCTCCAATTAGAAAAAAATAATTTCCGATACTCTTTCCTAATTTGGATCTCAAATGTATTTCAAACACACATAAATTACATCATAAATTATAGCATATATTTCCTACAACAATTGCTCAATAATAGAACAATACATAATAGAATATCTTTCTTAGCAATAAATAGAAAAATATCATTGGATTCGACAACAGAAGTTCCCACGAAAGACCTTGAGGCTCTTCGGTACTTGTCATGTTCTCTGTATAAACACGAAAATATGGTCGAAAATGACATTTGTTTTTAGGTACACACTACTAACCCGAGCAGAGAATCACCTATTTGTAAACAACAAATAACCGGGTGGCTAGATGCCATGAGCGACACCTTAAACATGGTATTGAATAGAACTGAATACGAGACCACCGAACCTTTGATTGCAATATGCCATGACATAACTTAAGAGTAGAATAGGCCGTGAAGTATACAAAAGCATATTCCGCAGAGTACAGTAAAGGTTGTAAGTTATAGTCGTGCTACTGCCTAATCATTCAAAAGGATAATCGGGCACCTCAACGCCCCTGCCTGGAATTTATTCGTATTGACGTATAAGGGAATACCCACCTTTTCGAAGTTGAAGAAATAGTTTTTCCCAATCACTTCCTTTTCTATAAAACACTGGTGGTCTACCCATGGGAGCATTAATCATCAAATATTGACCTGTTTTTGATTTGAAAGAGTAAATTTCATCTTGCCAAAGATAAACCCAGTCATCAGGAGGAAAATAAACTTCCCATTCTCTCGATCCTTCAGTCAGAACTGGAGCAACGAGTAAATCTGAAAACGATTATTAGATTTCAATAAATATTGCTATCAAGTTATGAAGGCACCTTCGTTTAAAAGCATAATACTCGGGCATACCTAACTTAACGTCACCCAATTAGGCAAAATTACCATATGAAAATGTAACCATTACATGAAAAGATGGAGAGACAAATGCCGTTCCTATAACCCGTTTCAGATTATATTCAAAGAATATCCGCGGCTGAATGAGAAAAAGAAAATCGATTTTGAGGGTTCAAAATTGATTCAAATTTTTTGAACGCACAGAAATTGCTCTTATTTATTTTGGTTCCATTACATTTGAACCCATACTAACCCTAACCCATGGGGTTTAGCACCCGCATATAGATTGAACCCGCGGATATATACATGGGTTCAAATGTACGTGCTGGGATCAAATGTTCGGTCACCATTTATTTTATCATCCCATGATTACAGGTAAATGTAATGAAAGAAACATATGGAATCACAAAATGCCTACGGTACATTTCTTTCTCTAATAAATTATAATATTTTGATAATATTTTTTGTAATCTTAAAAAACCGAGACTTTAAACTTACCTGGACCATACATGTATTGGTATTGGATATCATACGATGTTTCGTCATTAGGATAGCTGAAGAATAGTGGTCTTTGTACGGGCCATCCATATTTATGATTCTCTTCTGCAACAAATTCATGATATGGTCGCAGGATTGAATGTAGTTTTGTTAGTTGTGCAAATTCTCGCATTGTCCTATTTGTTGTATAAACCTATCGAATGTCATACAATTTATAAAATGACTTTGATTTGTTTAAGATCAAAGTCGCTATGTATTTTATTTGGGTGGCTTATAAACGAAAAACGGCGCTCCAGAAGTATGTGTACCAATATGGAGGTAATAAATTTTGTTCGCCTACTTTACACCAAGTTGTGTAAAGGGACGGAAGCCTATGGGCAGGGGATATATTCACTTGGTTAACAAAAAACAGTTCCCGAACTCGGAATAGAACTAAAATAAGAAAATCGGAATGAGAGACAAATTATGGCCTAACCCTAACCTGGTACACACACTACGGGAGTACACGAAAAGTAATTATTAAAGATACCAAACATCGAAAACTTTCCAGAAATTTTCTGGTTTCACATTTGAATCAGTTACTTAAATTGTCTGCATTTATTTAGTAGGTATTACTATATTGCTATGTGGCATCCGTAATGTTATTTGCATCTGGTATGGCACTCCAAATTTTACTCGGATATTAAAGATTCTCTAGCGAATTTTTTTAATTTTCAGTGAATATTCCGACGAAAGGCATTATAATTATATTATCCAAGTAGCTGATTTCATTTCCCGCAATATGAATATGAAAAGTCCTATCTTATTCATCTCATTAAATTAGTAGCAAACGCGATACCTGCCAATTTCGATCTGGTCGATTACATTCATGAGTTCTCATGACTTGAGTAAAAACAGACATCTCCGACCATCTCAATATCAATTCTTCATTTCTTACCATCATAAGTAAAGAAACGTAGCCACCGATATCAGAATGTGATAAACCCATTCCTACAAAAACCGATGCATTTGATTATATGAAGTGGGGTAGATAATGGCAAACTTTTCGATCTAGAATGATGACAATCAGTTTAATTTATTGGTTGTGTTTTATATGGCATTATCGGCGGTCTGTGATTCTAGAGCTAATGCATGCGTCGACCATTTTTTTATTAAATATTTTCTAAAATTTTTGATGTTTGCCTGTGAATGTGACTCAAAGCATGACCACTCGTGCTCACTCAGAAGTAAAGCTACTGAAACGAACACAGCTATGTAGGTGCGTTACGCACCCGCATATAGCGATAAGTGTGAGCCTTGGAGCACTCGAAATGATCAAATGTTTTTAATGAATTTCGAAGAATGAAATTCTTGAGAATAAAAATACTTTGACTGTCTAAGATTCTTGACGACGCTGACAGCGACGAAGCTAGTAAGACCTCAAAGCCAAGCGGTTATATCGGTTATTTTTTTTTTTTTTTTGATGGAGCAGATCAGAAAGTTTAAAAAGACGTTTCGATTTAATTCGAAATTATTAATATGTTGATACTTCGGCAAACTAATGGACTATTGACAAAACATATGAAAGTATAGAGAACAGGGAACAAGTTAACAACAAGATAATCGGATTTCAATGTGACTTGATATGAACGGCTAAAACTAACCAGACATTCCGAGTGAAAGGGTCGCTGGAATGACTGATGGTAATCCATCTCCATAGAAATAATCGACGTTTTGGTCACCTGCCCATGCCATCAGGGTTTGACCCGGAGATGAAGCATATCCTAAATTAAAAAGGAAGAAGTAATATCAAATTGAAAATGGTTTCAATTATATTTAGAATACTAGCTTCAAACTAACAACGTGGCGAGCAGCTAAACAACTATAAACCCCTCATTTTTCAATGTGTTTGTGTTTGTAAATTTGTTAAGCATTAAATACAATAAAAATATAAAAAGAATCATACCAACTAAGCCTAATGTTTAACAATGTCACCGTACTATTCTTAGTATCTGTCGAAGATGTGTTCGCTGCGAATTATATCAAAAATATGAAATAAACTTATTTAGATCACAAAGAGGAAACTGTCGTTTGAAGCATCATCAACACAAAATCAACTGTGACGAAGATGGACTTTGCGACACTCAAAAAGGTTTTTAAAAGTTATTATAAAATCATAAATTATTGTCGCCAATACAACTTCCACCTATTATTTTTAATTTAACATTGCTGAGAACTGGATATATCTCTGTAAATATTATCAATTTGTTTGCTAATCCCAAATACATCCCACATACATACATCCCGTTCTCACCGCGGAGAGTAACATTTAAACATTCAACGAGACATCTTACATACAGTCTTGGTATACAAAACTATGCCAGTCGAAGGCACAACAAAATAATAATACCGTCGTAAATTTCATTCAGTATTATTTTGTTTGAACAAGATAAATATTCCTCAGCTTAGACAAACAAATTCACCAGTCAACGTGATGAAAAACGTATATCGAGAAAATGACCTGATCTCATGAACACGAAAGCATCTTCCAATCTTCCTGCTTCCTCAATGGCATCTCTGTTTAATTTTGCCCATAAATATGAATAATAATTGTGCATTCCAGCAGACAAAATTCGATTGTCATAAAAATATATATCGTCGTCTACCGGCAAATATTCTCCCCCGAAATCAGCCATCCAGCCGGAGAATCCTATGTCAAGCATGCCCTGGTTTTGAGTGATATTTTTTGTGAACGTCATATTTTGAATAAAATAATATTTATAAACAAAATGTGACTTTAAAATCGGAATTCCAATCGGTAGGCGGCGTTGTCATTTTAAAAGCAGATACTGCTGCATTTATAATTCCCAATGAAAACTAACTGGAGAAGAAGTGTCTTGAATATGCACCACCCCGCTATGCTAGTATATGGTTGTGGCATAACTTTTTTACTCTGTCATATCACAAAGTAACTCTGAGTGAGTCACTGAGTAATTATCAACCCATTCATTTATAGAAGGTAATAATATGCGGCAGCTACTTATAGAATCGATAAAAATATTATAATGCTAATCACTGTGATGATACGTAAAAACATGGCACTGGAGTTACCGTCAAAACACTTTTGTACCATTCGTATGCTTCGGGATTTGTTAAATCAACAGTTCCACAATCGAATTCTCCAAAATCAACCAGCAATGTCTTCCCTAAATAGAATACAAAAATTGTGATTTTTTGGAGCTAAATACTTTCTAACATATTCAAGGTAATACCATATAACCTGTAGTTGAATTCTTTATAAAATATCCTCTTTCATCTGCATGTTTATACATTTTACTTCCGTCTATTATGTGCGGATTGATGTACGAGAGAAAACGAACACCTTCTTTAAGATATTCCTTCAAAATATACAATTCTGATATATACCATGCGTTGTAATATATGGTATTGTTGAGTCTTATTATGTTAAAAATTCGACAATTTTCCGTATAATCATACAATTACAATTGATAGTTTCACACTACCTGGAATCGCTCCTTTGCGACATCTAAAGGCCAATAAAATTCTTCATTGAGTTCCCAATTCCAGTAAACCCGTTTTCCCAATGAGGTATGAAATTTTCCTGGCCAATCTTGTATCCATATTCCGCTGATCTTAACACCTTGTTCTTTAAGAAGTTCGTATTTACGTATAGCCTTGACAAGAAATTACAATTATACAATATTACGAGGCATTTATATTATTTAGCAGTTAATATTACCTCATTTTTACCACCTTGGATGCCCAGAATCGCACCGTCGTAAAGCCACTTTGGTGGTTTTGGTTGTCTTCCAAAGAATCCTGTGAGCTTTGTTAAAAGTTCGGGCCAAGATTTTGCTACATCGACATAAATATCGACACTGCTAACATCCTCCCACAGTTCTAATTCGTGATACGCTTTTGATCTTGAAATAGCGTCAAAGAGTCAAAATATCATAATAAAATATATAAAGGTTTTGACAAAGGAGTTTGTGTACTGTTATAATATATTTTCTCCTTACGTGAAATTTAGAACGTTGTAATATGAATGGTTGACATGAACGTATAGTAATCTGCTTGATACGTATGTTGCTTGGGTCCAATATGTCGTATGATAATCCCCTCCAGCATTCCCGATTATTTCTGAAAGCAAGGATGCAACTCTCAAATATATGAACACGGAGGCCAAAACTTATACAAAGTATTCTCATGTATCATATAAAAGTGTTCCCATGAAATAAAATGGCAAAATTTGGGGTGGAATATCGGGTCACGTAGGACGCAAGAAAAATGCAATAAAAAGAGTATAAGAGTCTTTTGCCATTTTCAAGTACTCGAAATTTGAAATCGATTGGTCCGGTAGTTGTGAGGGAAGGCCACTTTTTTACAAAAAACAAAAATGACACCAGTTTAGCGAAACATTCCCTTCGTGACCAATAAAAACTGTGATGAATGTTGCATCATACTGCAGCCCTTTGGGAAGGAGGTAAAGAAGGGCGAATGAGAGAAAGCAAGATAAAATAAAATTCTGAAAACTTACCTGCTAAGTGAGTTGTGAGTTTTTTATAGTCTCGCGAAACGCCCTGTTCTCTCACCCAAATAGGAAAAGCATGCCCTCTCATTTGAAAATAGGTAAATTGCTCTCCACCTGATATGAACAGAAAGATTTTCAATTGGTACATTTCTCTAAAGGAAGTTCAATCAAAACAAGCAAATCGATTGTGACAGATGGTCCCAAATGAAAATCAAATGAAAATGTAAAATAATCCTTTCAGTACTTTCTCCATAAAAAACTGACATTGGGTAGAACCAAGCTTGTTCGGCATAGTGCGTCGTTCTACATTCCATGCAGCTAATGTGAAAACTCAAGATTTCCTTGTTTTATAACCAGCATTTGTCATTAACTTGCCACCAACTCCGATTTATTTAAAACCTGACCGAATCCAGGTTCAAATAAATTTTCATTTCGACTCGTAACATAATTTTCGTGACTAAGACATCATTGTTGACAAGCTTTATTCTGTTTTAGTTGGAGATGTCGACAGTAACTTTTAAAAGTTTAATTCCGTGGCCCAGCCATATCGCGACTGCGAAAAGTTTGAATGAGACTCCGGCTCCGACACCAGCAAAAACTCGACTCTACAAAACCGGTTGAAAAATAATAGTATTAAATTATTAATACTAGGTTTAATTTACCTCCATAAACTTTTTCACTTTCTGTCGCATACATTTTGATCCAAAGACGAGTAATTTTTCCAGACGACGTTTTATCAAACAAGTCAATGTGGATTTTGATGTTGCCAGATATTTCACAACTAAATTTCATTTCAACCTTCAAGTGAAAATCAAGTTAGGAATGAGTTTGAATATATGAAATCAATCATAGGAATGGCTTCATTCGTAGAAGGCTATCAGGCCACCACAAAAACAGCGAGTTTGATTTTAAGGCTACACAAGTATACAATGTTTGCTGAACAATAAATTGTCTGACAAAAATATATTTGATAGGTGATGTATAGAATGTTGCGTTACTTAGGACATTTCTAGGAAATTTCGCCGTCGGAAATCTAGCGCAGGAAATTTTGCTGCATAGGAAAAATCGCCGCATGAAAATCGCCGCAAGAGCATTTTGCTGTGAAACAAATTTTTTATTAAAAAAAGATCCGTTATTTAAGAGCATACCCTAACCTTAACCATATAACAGTAATTTTTCATGCTATCACAAATACTTTTTCATTGATTTTTCATGCGGCGAATTTTCCTATGCGGCGAAATTTCCTGCGGCAAAATTTTCTGCGGCGAGATTTCCTACGGCGAAATTTCTGGACACGACTTAGGACATTTATTGATGGTATGGTATTTTCGCTTGTTCGAAATATAAAATACAGAAAGAGCATATTTTACGTCGTCTAAGAATCTAATCATTTATCAATTAGGATAGCTTCAAATGATAATAATTCATATTTTGCTACATAAGAAGAAAATACTAGAAACAATCCTATTCCTCTATGTCCAGGCTCAACTGCAAAGAGGTTTTCATATTTGTATAAAGTCTTAGTAAGATTATCGTGTTTATATTCTAATAAGAGTAAGATGTATACCTGTGAACTCGTTTTGTTTTTACTGCTGAAGAACAAAATGGCTAAATTGTTGCCCGTTCCGCTAACTGGGCCAGCTCCCGATGCGACAACGGTTTCATCAGGCAGCAAAAGTTTGAAACCTTCGAGCGGTATTCTTGATGTGACATCATCATTTACATAAAAATTTCCCAGAATACCTTTGTAGGATGACGTTGCTTTTCCTACTTCTATTATCGGATTATTTTGAGAATGTTTAATAACTGATTTTCCAGCAATAAATATTTCTGTAATAAAATAGAATTTCGTACAGTCAATTCGCTTCCGAATGGAAGACCAAGACTACCTCCTATAGTCCTATACCATACTCTGATTAGAATACAAGCCGGACGCGGAAATTCATAAGATACGACAAGATCAAGTAATTTTCAATAAAGAGTTGAAGACAACATCATGGATATGGTGAGGGGTCGTAATTGTGAATTTGTACAATAGGATTGCACGATTTCAGAGGATGTTCTTTGGTGTGGGCATATTGACCAAACGAAATACAGTCAGCAAAGATCTCGAAGTTCGCTCATTCTATTTAGAAAACATTCCATGATTGTTAACATCGTTAGGTAGTTGTCAGTATAAAAAACTTACCAACGGACGTATCAGTCTTCTCAAATACAATTTGTTGGCATCCTTTTCCAGTTATTTCGCAAACGCATTGAAACAGCAATATAGTCACCCAGACGATCCTCATTTCAGAAAGGTGAAAGTGACAACAAAATCTGGCGTTAACTACAGATTGATCCCACTCCCGCGTCAATTCGCTTCGTCAGAAGGGGTTTGGACTATATTTGAAGCTTGGAAAAAGTTCAATGGGGTTAGCCAAAATGTAATACCGTATAGCTGTGATTGTGTTTACCAATTTTAGATTAATAATACTTAATAATAACTCTTCTCTTGTGAACGCTTATTTTAGACGTGATTACAAGAGTGACAATCATGCTTTCCTGTAGCCTATATAAGTTGCATACGCAAGCATGAAACAGAGTAGAATAGAGCTTCCATCTGAGATGTCAAAATTTATAATATTCAGGCAACAAATTTTGAATTACAAAAGCTACGCTAAAGTCATCATCTCTAGGTAAATGCGCCAATCTTTACTTGTGAATGGGACCACGTTATTCACACCTAATAAATGACTATCAGATATCGGATGACAACAGTAAACAGTAAGAGACCTGACCTCACGCAATGAGAGATTGTACCGGTAATGCAGAAAGTTGCAAATCAAAATTGCAAATTTGCAACAATTAGCTTTTGCAGAAAGCGATGTATTTCTCACTTTTTGAGCATACCCGCCTCGTCGATTGCTGTACTGTACATTTTTATACTAATTTTTACCAGAATGTAATATATTTCAACAATTTCCTTCTTTAAATTACTTTGAAAATATTATAAACTTATGATTTTTTTGGTACAGTTAAGACAATATTGAACTGCTAAATCAAATATTACCGGTATTCCTTACATAGCAAAACTTACTATTCCTTTTGTTTGAATTTGTTAGCAAACAGATATCGTGTCGTTAAATCTACTGATGCTGTTAAACAATGTTGCTTCATGATACAGTGCGAAGGAAGGAAGAGACGCTGGCAACTAACAAGAGCATAACATTCATTCCAATAACGGTTTTCAATACTATTAACAAGATCATTCGTGCTTATAGAGTACTCGGTTCTAAAATTTGGATTTTGTATATAGTCATCATTGTAATAGATTTTAATGTAACATATTAACCCAATTCGTGTGAAAGTAGTAAAAAAACAAAATTAATTAATCCCAAAGTTGCAGTTACGAATTTCTTGAAATTCAATTTCGAAGTTGAATATATTTTTTGTACTAGTCAATTTAAAAATGAAATTTCATTTCTAGTTATGTTTCATTAATTTGAAATCAAAATTTCCCTTCAAAGACTCATTATCTATTCACTTTAAGATAATTTCAATTTTCCACGATTGCGATTTAAGCGTGATCAGAAATATCTTTTTCACCGTTACAACTAGAATCAATTATAACCTATAAATAATAAGTTTTGGAAAACAATTTAATATAGTTATTTCTCGCAATACCGAAATGGCAGGACAGTGATTATGAAGTGGAAATTATGTAACTACTGTTTATTCCTTATATTCATAGGATTTGTAAAAACGTTTATATTCTGCTATCTTCTCAATGTTAATCAGAATAGAATAGATCTAATAGAGCAGTGGTTCCCAAACTTTTTGTACCATCGCCCCCCTAAAGTAGTTTATACAACTTCATCGCCCCCCGGCACTGCAAAAAAAAAGTTTGAAACGAATATATTACAGACCAAATAAGAAGACAAATCATAGTTCATAGTGTTTTTTAATGAGATGGATGAGCTTGGTGTTCTTCAGCGAGTTTTTCATTATATCTGAAATTACCCCGTTTACTGAGGGAAAGGCGATTTAGTTGTTTTGATAGCAATAGCAGCACGGCTGAAAACCCTTCTTTCACCATATCAGAGGTCGGAAATGAAAGAATTCAGGGTTCTACTCCCTCAAAAACTGTCGTGTACTCTTGCATTCAATTCCCTAAATTCACCGCATTTCACATTGAAATAATGAAAACAAAATTAATTTTTCAAAACTTATAATGATGATTTTCGTACATCTCATTCATCCCTACAGCCTGATGATGAGCTTTACCAAAATACATGATATACAACGGTCTCCGGTAAAATTCATCCCCTATTCCACGTCCTCCAGTCCGATTACCAGTCCATAGATTTAATCAGCCATTTGTTTTGGATTCGTGGACTCGGATGGCCCAAGGGGCGGCAAATTTTACGTCGCTCGCGGGACAAAATTTAGGGTTGCTATTCTTTCGCGGATCGCATATATTTTTTGAAAGTTAAAAACGGAACATCGTGCAAAAACTGCGACAATTCGTGAATTCAACTGAGTCGTCTTATTAAAAAATTATTACAATGACATTCAATGTGACACTGTCTTGTTGCTGCATCACGCTTGATAGGACGCCAAGATTGGAAGATTTTCTAAATGGGCATCACTAATCTTAGTTTTTTGCTTGTTCTTTGTAATGATCATTTTTGAAAATAATTGTTCGCACAAATATGTACTTCCAAACATCGAAGTGAATATTTTCGCATGGTTTGTGAAATTTTGATAAAGATTTTCTTTAAGAAGATACATTCTTACAAAAATTGAGCAGTGATGAATCTCTGGAATAGAATATGAATTTTTTTTCCTTATTGCATTGCAATATATTCGAATATTTACTGCCCTATTGAACTCCTGCATAAACTTTTCTGCGTGTTTCCATTTGTCTAATTATAATTAAATTGTAGGCTCATTAAACGAGTAGCTGTTATATATAATCGCTGTTATATAAAGGATATAATAAAATTTAGTCTAAACGTGTCTCACGATAAATTCTGTTACGTAAAAAAATGTAATTTACTCCTCGAGCGTAGATGATAAATAAAATCATTCATCATTAAAACCGCCGTTTGAACGTTTCTCCTGGCATAGACTTCCTTGTTTACTTCTTGACATAGGCCAATCAGCAAGATGCAAAAATAAACGTAACAATGCCCCCTTTTGCATCCACTCAGACACATTCCTCACGCAGACAGACTTTCAGGCGTGGTCGTAAACATTACCTCACCTCATTTTCGCGACTTTGAATTATATTCGTTAGTTTTTAGTTGTTTTTCGGAAATTTAAATATAATAGGTCAATAATCACTTTGTCCCCCTAGGAGTTTCAGTTCAATTACAGTGATCAAAAATTAGTGTAGAAATAGCTGTGATAGACTAGGCTAAAATTATTTACCGGTACTCCCTAAAAAACAGATTGTTGAATAGTATGAATTAGAAAGATAGTTTGAAACAAATACCTTATTTTATAGGCCACGGGAAACCACTCTTAAAAATAAGCACCGAAAATTTTAGAATGATAAAATATAGGAAGAATTTTCCGGGGTCAAAGGTCGGGGAAAGGTCCATTAAGTGAAGCGTCCCGGGCCAGATTACTACAGATTTTCCGAACTCTGGGATACGCAAACTACCGTACCTCACTGCGAAGACGAGTCCAGCAATCATTTCGCGTGCAATCACATCGCCCACGTGATTCAAACCTACGAAAGCACGCAGAGTACAGTAATCAAGTGCACGAGGCGCCGAGCAAAAACAGGTTTCGCGAAATCGCCCCCCTATCGCCCACTTCGACTTTTTCGCCCCCCTCTGTATCGTTTTCGCCCACCGGGGGGCGATATCGCCCACTTTGGGAATCACTGTAATAGAGTATACGTTGTATTCTGTATATATATATATATATTGTTGGAGACTGCAATAAAGCTATAAGTATAAGGTCTCTCAATCGTCTATTTTGTACTGCCGGTGGCTATCTTCAGGTTGAAAAATTGAGTTCATGAATTCGGGCAAAACTCTTGTCAGTCAAATCTCAGTTCATACCTACTTCATGAGTCAAATTACCTAATCAATAAATTATGTGTAGACTGATATAATTTCTGAATGTGTAACTTCAGTAATTTATACCTTTTACTATAATTCATAATATGGTCAATGCCAGGAGTATTTTGAAGAACAATCTAATCATTTGATACAATTACATCTCTCACTTTTCCAATGACATAGATTTCGAATAGTATAATGAGATAGCATGCACCCATATGTGCACAAATTTAATCATGTATATTTGTAGTACACTATGGTCTACTTGCCGGTGCTGTTAAACAAATTGTCAATAACGTTTTTGCAAATTTTATAATCAAAATTTATCAAGTAAGAACCATATCAAAAAGTAAACAAATGCACTGAACAATTTACAATCTCTTAATTCAACACACACGACATGTATTAATACTTAACGTTAAATATATCGCAATCGATTTGATTTATGATCATAAAATACTAACGGCCGAATCACCAGTACCTCACACTGGAGGCGGTAGATGAGCCTTGAGGTTTGTTGAATATCATAATCTTCTTTCGCCACACCGACAAAAATTCCAAGAAAAATAGACATGCACATGATGTATAAAATGAAGAGCGCAATGCTCAAATATTTGGACACGAAAGCCAAAACCAAGTAGCCTCAAATCTTTTACTGCACCTGTAGTCTGGCCACGAGATCGCTGAAATGTGACAACGGAACCACGGCACGGTGCGCATTTTTGATTTTGATAACGTAATCACACAAAATTTAAAGTAAAAATTCCATGGAATATTTTGAATAAACAAAAATAATAGCCCTCTATCGATAGAAACAATCTTTAACCACTGAAAATTTCAAAGCAATTGGTCCTATAGTTTGAAAAAGAGCGATTTTGGTTGATTCACACAAATCGATCAATGAAAATAGTACCACTATCTAAATACCAACTACGAACGCCGAAGAATTCCCTGATCTGTTCCCATATATATTTTTGAGTCATATTCGAACTTTGTCTCCTAAACTTCCATAAATTCATTCCCTGTTTTGAGATCGCCGTGTCACCTTCGTAGAATTCCTCTTTCGTCAAATGATCAGAACATAAGACGCTTACTCACTATGACGTAAAGTCCTGCAAACGTTCCACTTGCGAGAAACACGGGTATGTCTGATATTCAGTCAATCATGATTATTTATGAGTAACTGTTATGGATGACAATAATGTGAAAGTTGAGATATCATAATTAAATAAGGG